AAAAAAAAAAAAAAAAAAGAAAAAAAAAAAAAAAAAAAAAGAAAAGTAGAATAGCAATTTTCTAGTAGGTAGCAGGGCAGAAAACAGAAGAGCCCTCAAAGCCCTCTCTCTAGCCCTGAGAGGCTCTCCTTGCAGAGCAGACAACATCCCTGAGAAGAAGAGCAACTCACTCAAAGACACACAGTGAGCCAGTGTCAGAGTCCATTTGAGACCCAACCCCAAGCCGGGTCTCCCTGGGACCCCAGAGGTCCCTCCCCTGACACAGTCACCCTTCAGCTGTGTGAAGCCGTCTCACAGCTTCAGTCACCACTTCATACAGATAAGCCCAGCCCACACTTCTCACGGTGCCCCAGCTGGACATCCCAGCTCTTCAGACCCCAGGCATCTGCACGGCCTGTCTCTCCTTTGGAATCTGCCCATCTGTGCCTCCATACACACTCAGCTTCTCAAGCCAGCATGATAGGTGTCACCCTGAGCACCTCTCCCTCCTGCTTCAAGTAAGCCAGCAGAGTCCTTCCTTCCCCCTGGCCTCATAAGCACACCCTCCTTACCGTGTCCCCCTCACCCCTCCAGTGCATACTTTCCTTCAACAAGTGTCTGTCCCCTCCCTATAGTCATACAGGGCCTCAACCTGGGCATAGGGGCTGAGCACACCAGTCTCCACCATTGCATGAAGCCAGTGCTGTTCCCTGCTCAGACACCCTGCAGTGTCCCCTCCCCGTGGCTTCTGGGGTCAAGTGCAAACTACCCATGTGGGTATCATATTTCTGGACTGTCCCCCAGCCCCACCGATCCTGGGTTTCTTGCCATTCTGCCCCTGAGGTCTCTCTTAGCTTCCCAGATAAGCCTGGGACTCTTGTACACTCCCCATGAATAGAGCCAAACATAAATATGGTACAGAGGAGCATGTTGTGTCCATGGATGGACCACGGTATGCATGATTAGAGCCAAAGTCCGGCTACCTTGGCATACACTTTGTCTAACTACCCCTACTGTAGTTGCTGAAGCTCCTTCCTATCTCCGTGCCCACCCCTTCCCCAAAGCACAGACCACCCGGCCTTTCCCTGGAATGGGCCACAAATCAACAAACACCTGGTAAGCTGGATCAAGGGAAAGGCGCAGCCCAAGGCTCGACTTGGTCTACAGATCTGGGTCTGAGGGCCTGAGGTCCCCAGGGCCCGGGAAGAAGGTGCCCCAGAGACTGGCCTGGCCAGCCTGCAGTCTGAGGTGGTGAGTCACCTCCTGGCTGCAAGTCAAGGAACCCTCAGTGCGCCCTTGTTTGGAGAAGATCCGGGAGCAGCAGAGCGGAGATAAGGGGACAGTCATCAGGAGTCACAAAGGCCCTAAGACACACCTGGAGGGGCATGGAAGGACCCAAGTAATTGGAAACAGAGAGGAGGAGATGCAGCCAGATCCAGAGCAAAGGAGCATAAGGAAAGCCCTTACAAAGCCACACACAAGTGCATGCAAGAGCCTGGCTCTGAGCTCCAGCCTCTCGTGCTCCCCAGCCTGCTCCAACCGCGCCCGGGACCCCAGCGTGGGCAAGAGTGGAACCAATGGGCTGCCAGGCTCGGGGATTACCTCACCGGGACGCTCTGCCATTGGCTGACCCCTGCGCCGGAGCGCGCTGTTGCTATGACAGCTTGGGCCGGCGTTGAGGCGTTGCAAAGATGCCAGGAGGAGGCTCCCCACTTTTCTCCAGGGATCCCCATTCATCCCCACGGAACTCTGCTGGAGCCTCAAGAGGAAAGCCGAGCTACAGCAGGAACCAGAGCTCCTCTAACTACACCCACCATCCCTCTGCAACAACCACTCCTGCCTCTCTGTGCTAGGCGCACCTGCCACGAGGCCACACCCTGTCACGACACAGGCACCTGCAGACAGCCAGGCGCACATAACCACACTGGCCAGCGCTGGGCTCTGCACCGGCAGATCTGTGCCCTGGAAGCCCTGCCCTAGCTAGCAAGCAAACAGCGGAAAACTGCAAGCCTGTATTACAGGCCAGTAGGTACTCTGAGATGTCCCTTCTCAACTACCGGAAAACAGGAAGGCATAGCTGAAGTTTTCTGGGTGACAGAGAATAGGGGAAGAATTCCATCCCGTGTTAAGACCAGAGGCAGGAGACACTTGGGACACTGTGGCAGGAAATTAGATGCTGGGATGGCGAGACTGAAAAGGAGGAGTTGGGGTAAATCTCTGAAAGAGACGCAAGAGCAATGTCCCAAAGGGTTTGAAAGCCATGCCAAGGAGCTCTGGACCGTACCCAAGGTGGAGGGGAGGGGCCGTGGAAATGTGATTTGGTTGCCTTGAAGGGTGAGCAGAAGGGAGTCGGGAGACCGGTGTCTGCAGGGACTTGGAGGGGTGGAGAAACGCTGAGACCCCTATCCAGAGTGGAGACGCAGGGAACAAAATTCATGAGGTATAAGGGATGGGGACACCTCAGGTCAGGTGACTGAGTACATATCCCCCCTCACCTAGGAAGCTGGGAGGGCTTCCTGGCACCCCAACAGAGCCAGCATGGCCCTCTACAGCATCCACGCTGTGTGTGCAACAATAACTTCAACAGTTGTACTAAATTGAAGAGCTCATCCTTCCTTCCTCTCTTCTCCTCTTCCTTCTACCCCCACCCCCACCCCGCTCCAGCACTCAGCACAGAACTTCATCCTAAATACCAGCCCACAAACGGTAAGCCCACCCACGCTCCCACCAAACTCTGCCCTATGGTCAGTTCTTTGACCCAGCCTCCCCCCGTCCCCTCCATCCCCCCCTTCACCCAACCTCCATGCCTCCCTCAGAGCTATAGTAATGTTGTAGCCATTGTCTAGGCCTAAGGATAGTCGGCTCCCCCTCCCCATGTCTCAGCCCCTCCAGCTAGGAGGAAAGTGTTACACATTGTAGCAGATTTCCAAAGCCTGGTGGGAGCCCTCTTCTATGGGCTGCACCACACACACAGTGACCCTCCATCCAGTCAGCCATCAGGACAGAGCCTCACTACACATACAAGCAGGTGAGGAGACCTACTTAGGACCTGGGTGTGCACAGCCCTGCCTTTGGGCATATGAATAGCTCGTCACAAAGTGTTGTTTTTACTGCTCAGTTGCCACATATTCTCAGAGAAAGCACACACTGAAGTATTAATATAGTGGTAAGACAGAGTCCTGAATTTGTCTCATAATGCCACATTAAAGCCATCAAGATCTCAACCAAATCCTTGATTTGATGGCTGTGCATACTATCCCAAGGTACCATCTAGAATAATCTAGCTGCTTCTTTGATGTCAAGAGAGTCAGTCTCCATCGGGAAGCCTTTAATCCCAGCACCCAGGGAGGCAGAGGCAGGTGGATATCTGAGCTCCAGGCCAGCCTGGTCTACAGAGAATTTGAGGCCACCCAGAGCTAACCTGGAGGGCGGGGTTAGTCTGGAGTTCCTGGTGGTCAGAGCTGCAAATGCCCTTGACCTTCCTCATTGTCCCAACACCCAGTCAGATGTTCAGGAGGTCCACAGTCAAGGCCAAGAAAGGCTTCCCTCACTGCCCCAGCATTGTTTCTAAGGGAGGTAGGTCTGTGTTTCCCTGGACCCAGCAGGTCTGGGAGAACTAAAAAACATTTCCCAGATAACCTTACAATGGGGCTCTGGGTGAGTTTTGCCAACCGGGAAAATCCATGTGAGATAGGTAGTCAAAAGGAGGTAAAACTCCATTCCTCTTTCAGAAATAGCATCAGGTGGGACCCCAACTCTCTTGCTCCCCACTCAAGGACAATGTCCAGCAGTTCTGATGGTGAGAACAGAACAGAGAACTCTGGTGGTGAGCTCCAAGTGACATATAGCTCTTTCTCATTCCATTGGCAGTTGAAAGCAAGTCTCTGAGTTGAACCACTCTGTATGAAGTAGCTGGGGAAGGCTTGTTTTTCTTCAATAGATAACCAAAAGTGACATGTCAAGGACTTAGGCTTGCTTGCTCTGGGTAGGTGTCCTAAGAACTAGGAACATGAGGCCCAACAGAAGGTCACAGTATGCGGGGTCCAGAGAAACAGGCAAGCGTCTGTCTATGGGACCTTCTAACCACAGACTCAGGTTTAGGTCCTGCTTTTTTCTTTTTTAGAAAGAGCATCAATATGTTCAGATAAAGGCAAAACTGAAATGCACAAGCACACATTTTTAAGGGATTTACAAAATAACTTTTGCATTCTGGCTCTGTTATTCCTCAGCCTGGGTGGTAAGTATGTGGGTGTTCATCTTTGCTAAATTGTCCAATTATTTTTGTATCCTTTTTTGTTTTTATTAGCATATATTACTTGTATATAATAATGTAGTTCATTGTGAAATAATGTATCTTGCACTGTGCATAATGTATTTTGAACATATTCATCCCCACCCCCCACCACTGTTACCCTCTCTCCCCTCATCCCTTTCCTTTTTCCAACTAACCCCCTTTTTAGAGAACTGATGAATTTAGCGAGGGTTACTCACAGGGGAGGGCTTATTTATAGAAGCTGGGCAACTTGCATTCTCATGGACTTCTGCAACATCTTCTGTTTTATGATAATAAGTGGTTCCAGTGAATGGGGGTGGAGCTGGAGAAATAGCAGTGCCCACTTCTGATTTCAAAGCATATAAGCAGGGGGAGAGATGGGGAGGGAGACTGAGGGTCAGGTTGAGATATTGTTTTCTGATGGATCAAGTCCACCATGCCTCATGGTCATTGAGGTTAGCAGGACTAAGCAATGGAGTATAGGATCTCAGAGAGAGCAGACTCCACAGCCGCTGCAGAAGAGGTGGTGAAAATATCAGCAACAGATTTGCGTGGCTAAGAACTCGCATCCAGAACATCCAAGTCACTCCTACTGATTTAGAAAAAGACAGGCCAACTTGTAAAGACAACAGTTGTGTTGTAAAGACCAATAGAGCTCTCATGGTTTCTGTGCAAATAATCACACAGTTAAATTTTGTAAGAATAAAGTGAAACCCGTGGTGTAGGTCCCCAGTAATTTCACAGACTGGGGCCACTCCCTGGAAATAGCCTAGCAAGGTATGTGGAGTTCGGTGAGTCCTAAAAGCAAGAAGCTAGATGTGTCAATGGTGTGGCCAATGGAAATTCATGGCTCAGAAGCCAAGCTGGCGTAGATAGATACTGGAGGCTCGCCAACGTTGCCTCTATCGTTAATTCTCTGACTGGTGTTCCATGACCCTCTTCTGTGTCATGGGCCTGAGGTTTTGTGGGCTTTGCTGTTGTTTTGTGCTTTTGTTGGTTTTGCTTTTTCCCCAAATAAGATCTAGAGTAGCCTAGGCTAGCCTCAAACTCAGTCTGTGGCTGGGGATGACCTTGAAATTCTTTCTTTTTGAAAATTTGTGTGTGAGAGAGAGAAGGGGAGGGAAAGGAGGGAGGGAGAGAGAGAGAGAAAGAGAGAGAGAGAGAGAGAGAGAGAGAGAGAGAGAGAGAGAGTTGAGTTTATTCTGCATGTCTAGTGCTTGAAGAAGCCAGAAGAGAATACTGGATCACCTGGAATTGGAGTTATAGGCAATTGAGAGCTATCTATTGTGGGAGCTAGGATTGACCTCAGGTCCTTTGAAAGAGCAACAAGCATTCTTAACCACTGAGCCACCTATCCAGCTCAGACTTTGCGGTTCTAATTTTCCTGCAGACCCCTCTCAAGTGCTGAGAGGGCAGGCATGCACCATGGAACTCAGGGCTTCAGGCATGCTAGGAGAGTCCTCTTCCAACTCAACCACATTCCCCCAGCTCCCTACCAAGAAGCTTTAATTTAACAGGGACATTGGTTGGTGTGGGAACGACAGAGAAGGGGCTGGGGTGTGGCTCAGTGATAGATGCTCTTGACTAGCACGCTCAAGGTAGTGGGTTCCACCCCAGCATTGAGGAATGACTGGCAGAGATCCAAGGACAGACCTGGCCTCTAACACAGATGAGGAAGAAATGAACCCATAGAATTGATGCCTTTTATGATTTGTATTTCAGTTGTAACAAGACATGGCTAGCCAGGTTTGGGGGTGTGGTGGTTCGAAAGAAAATGACACCTGAAGGGAGTGGCATCACTAGGTGTGACTTTGTTGGAGTATGTGTTTGTTGTTTTTTGTTGTTTGTTTTGTTTTTCTTTTTTTTTTGAGACAGGGTCTCCGTGTTGCTTTGGAGCCTGTCCTGGAACTCACTCTGTGGGGGTGGGCTTTGAGGTCCCCTTTGCTCAAGCTTCACTCAGTGTGATACACCACTTCCTGTTGCCTGCAAGCCAAGATGTAAGATACTGGGCTACTTTTCCAGCACTCTGTCTGCCTGCAGGCCACAATGTCACACCAAGATGATCATGGACTAAACCTCTGAAAATGTAAGCGAGCCACCACAATGAAATGTTTTTATGTTTTTCCTTCACAAGAGTTGCTGTGGTCATGGTGTCTCTTCACAGCAATAGAAACCCTAACTAAGACAGACAGAGGCTGGATTTTTGTTTTGTTTTGTTTTGTTTTGTTTTGAGACAGGGTTTCTTTGTGTAACTTTGTAGGCCAGGCTGGCCTCAAACTCACAGAGATCCACCTGCCTCTGCCTCCTGAGTGCTGGAATTAAAGGCGTGCACCACCGCCTGACTTCTGTTATTTTTTTTTTTCTACATGGCTTTTATCATTTCTTTAGAGACAAATTCCCTCCAGGAAGTCCATAATGGCCTCAAACTTGGGATCCTCCTGCCTCAGCCGCTCTCCTGCTGCCA